GTGGCTGTCTGTCTGTAGATCAGCTTGTTGTCCGAGCCGCCGATTAACCTGAGAGCACACACACACACACACACACACACACACACACACAGACACACACACACACACACTCACACAGACAGACAGACACACACACAGACAGACAGACACACACACACAGTGAGCAGTGACGTCAATCACGTGACAGTGGCAGAGAAACACGTGTGCGTGAGTGTGAGTGTGTGTGTATGTGTGTGCGCATGTGTCTGTGAGTGTGTGTGTGTGTGTGTGTGTGTGTGTGTGTGTGTGTGTGTGTGAGAGTGTGTGTGTGTGTGTGTGTGTGTGTGTGTGTGAGTGTGTGTGTGCGAGAGTGTGTGTGTGTGTGTGTGTCTTACAGTCCTCCCTCCAGGAAGTTGCAAATGTTCTCGTCTCGCTTGGAAACCAGATGAAAGGTTTCTCTGATGATCTGCTGCTCTGTGTCTTCAGTCTGAAAGGAATAAACAGACATTAACGAGCCGCATATGAACCCCGAGTCCACAGAAAGCATCAGGAACAGACAGACGTCAGCAGTTCTTCACTGTGAGCAGCAGGTGTCGCTGTTTCTGGCAGCTTCAGGATCTTCCTGCTCACAGACAAGGAGGAGTGGAATTCATTATTGTAGTCAAATGCAGTGTTTCTGAGGATCTGAAGTGAGCTGATAAGGACACTTCTGTCTTCTGGAAGCGGCCTTTCATAATCGGTGAACTCTGCAGCAGTTATTGTGCTGTTTATCACTGTGAAGCTGCTTTGAAACGATCTGTACTGTATGAGGAGATAAACATGACTCAACATCTGTCACACACACACACACTCATTCCTACAGCACTCACATTGTGTCTGTGTGTGTGTGTGTGAAATGTGATAAATATGCGTTCTGTGTGAACGGCTTGGTTTCAGTTTTGATGTAAACAAGATCTTCTCCGCATTGTTCTCTTTTTCCGCAATATTTGTAATTAACAACGCAGCAGCGCCGCATCCACTGGCTTCAACTGAATAGACCAAGAAAAACATTATAATGCAAGACACTTACATCGTCATCGCATCTCGTGCGCCGCTGATAAGGCTGCCTCCTTAACGCACACCTAAAATGTGGATTTTTATTTTAAATTCGACGAATATTCAAAAAAAAATTTGAGTGTGTGTGATGTGAGTGAGTGAGTGTGTGTGTGTGTATGATGTGAGAGAGTGTGTGTAGCAGCTGCAGCCTGTGAAATATTGAAGAGCGCTCTTTGTCTCCTGACATGTGATCGGGGTCAGAGGTCACTCTTGAGTTACACGATCATTTTCACAGACTCTTGTGATCGGCTCGTGTTTGTTCCGCTGTCAGCTGCTCGATCATCACATCATACAGCGTCCAGTGAAACGCAGCTAACATACACACACACACTCTCTCTCTCTCAAACACACTCTCTCTCACACACACACACACTCTCTCTCTCTCAAACACACTCTCTCTCACTCTCACACACACTCTCTCTCTCTCTCAAACACACACACACACACACACACTCTCTCACACTCTCTTTCTCTCAAACACACTCTCTCTCACACACACACACGCTCACACTGCATACACACACATATATACACACACACATATACTGTACACACACTCTCTCTCTCTGTATTTTCTGCGCTCTTCATGGCCAAAATCAAATATTCTTCCATGACAACTGATTTAAAGGCATTTTACGTTATCATAATCCATATATGGTTAATATTTTAGCTGTAATAACAACCCACCAAATACTTTATTTCTCTGACAAATCAGCTGTTCAATTATTCAACACACATCATGTCATACACGGCCACGTGTAAAGCAAACAGATACGTAATTAAGTGATGATAATAATAATAATAATAATAAGGAGCGAATGATTTAACGTTACTCACATAATGCTCGTAGAACTTTGACAGTCGTGGTTTGCCATGATTATTAAAGATCAGAATGGCTTTTATCATGTTCACCGCTGTGGTCGGATCCAGCTGCGGCTGAAGTCGTCGATGTTACAGACTGATATTCCAATAATCAATAACTAATAATCGCAATCTGACACTCAGGCGAACAGCAGAGCGGAAGAGCGCGCCGGAACCTGTCAACAAGCGCGTCAGAGTGACTTCCGCTACAGTGAGCGCATTCCAATGACGCAGCGACACTGTCAAAATAAAAGTCGTGACAATCTGCGATCGACTGCTCTTACACACAATTGCGTAGTGCGCTGATACTTCAATTAAATAAATTAACTAATCTGTGTAAATGTATCTTAAGTGTATAATGTGTAATTAATTACATGCGTATATGTATTGTGTATTGCTGTTCTGCACTCAAGATTTTCATTTACTGTCCCACATGTGGTTAATTGACAAAAAAAGAACATACTATTGTATAAACATTTTTATATGACATAATGAACATACGAGTATGTTCTTGCAACTTGCAATGTTTTTATTAAATTCACATTAAATACAAAGTCGTATTAAAAATATTTTATGGCATGACATCCATATATGGTACTTAAGTAAAAAGACAGATTTTTATGCAAAGTTAATAGATTACACTATTAGGCTACTTTGCCCATCGCCCATTATAGATCAACTAACATAATCTATAAAGGTGCAAACTGCATTTACTTACACATATTTGAGAATCGAGATATTTCACTCGTGCCCCATCAAATATAAAGAGTGCATGATGCCCCTGACACTACAATACAAAATTATTTGTCAAATAAATGAAACATAATGAAACATTCATTTTAGTTGAAATTGTTATAGATTACTTCTAGGGATCGCAGTTATACATGACATGGTGAAAAATGACTGAATGAATAATACTGAAAGTAGGTTCAAATGAATTTTAAAATTGTGCCCCCTAAAAGCACAAGTGGCCCCTGTCTGGCCCCCCCCCAGTTACTGTGGTCTAGAACCGCCCCTGGCCCTAGCTGCTCCTTGTTCAAAACGGGGCTTCGGAACGCGTATCGTTTGATTCAGATCGGGATTTAAGATTGGATTCGGGAATCTTTTGATTCAGATCGGGACTTCGGAGCGCGTATCGCGAATCGATTCAGATGCAGATTCTGGAATTTTTTGATTCACATCGGGACTTCAAAGCAGATTCGGGAATCTTTTAATTTAGATCGGGAATTCAGAGCGGATTCGGGAATCTTTTGATTCAGTTCGGGACTTCAGAGCGGATTCGGGAATCTTTTGATTCAGATCGGGACTTCAGAGCAGATTCGGGAATCTTTTGATTCAGATCGGGACTTCGGAGCATGTATCACGAATCGATTCAGATGCAGATTCTGGAATTTTTTTATTCACATCGGGACTTCAGAGCGGATTCGGGAATCTTTTGATTCAGATCGGGACTTCAGAGCAGATTCTGGAAGTTTTTGATTCAGATCGGGACTTCGGAGCATGTATCACGAATCGATTCAGATGCAGATTCTGGAATTTTTTTATTCACATCGGGACTTCAGAGCGGATTCGGGAATCTTTTGATTCAGATTGGGACTTCGAAGTGCGTATCGCAAATCGATTCAGATGCAGATTCGGGAATCTTTTGATTCAGATCGGGACTTCAGAGCAGATTCTGGAAGTTTTTGATTCAGATCGGGACTTCGGAGCATGTATCACGAATCGATTCAGATGCAGATTCTGGAATTTTTTTATTCACATCGGGACTTCAGAGCGGATTCGGGAATCTTTTGATTCAGATTGGGACTTCGAAGTGCGTATCGCAAATCGATTCAGATGCAGATTCGGGAATCTTTTGATTCAGATCGGGACTTCAGAGCAGATTCGGGAATCTTTTGATTCAGATCGGGACTTCAGAGCAGATTCGGGAATCTTTTGATTCAGATCGGGACTTCAGAGCAGATTCGGGAATCTTTTGATTCAGATCGGGACTTCAGAGCAGATTCGGGAATCTTTTGATTCAGATCGGGACTTCGGAGCATGTATCACGAATCGATTCAGATGCAGATTCTGGAATTTTTTTATTCACATCGGGACTTCAGAGCGGATTCGGGAATCTTTTGATTCAGATCAGGACTTCAGAGCAGATTCGGGAATCTTTTTATTCAGATCGGGACTTCAGAGCAGATTCGGGAATCTTTTTATTCAGATCAGGACTTCAGAGCAGATTCGGGAATCTTTTTATTCAGATCAGGACTTCAGAGCAGATTCGGGAATCTTTTTATTCAGATCGGGACTTCAGATCGCGTATCGCGAATCGATTGAGATGCAGATTCGGGAATTTTTTTATTCAGATCGAGACTTCAGAGCGGATTCGGGAATCTTTTGATTCAGATCGGGACTTCGAAGCAGGGACGTGCATAGACATTTTGAGGGGTAGGGGCTCAAGTGGAAAAAAAGGGCACTTCTTATATTTATTTAAAAATTTTTCTAAACAAAACATTAAATATACCTGTTAGGGGTGTGCAATATTATATGCATCTCAATATTTTTGGGATTTTATCGATAACGATAATTAGATGATATTTTGCTGAGTGTGTTATTGTGCTGATATCTTAAGGACTGCCGTGGACAGCTGACTCCTAACGTTTTTGATATTATGCATATTCTGTGTGGTGATCAGTTTACAGCAATAATAGAAATTAATCTTTTCCAATAAGTTTACATTGATTTTTACCTTTTATGAGCATTTTTACCTTTAAGCATTTTTTCTAAAAGTGTACATCATATTTTCAGGCAAATTCTTAAACTGAATCAGTCAATTAGAATAATAAGTCATTTGGGCTGTTACCAGTCAAAAATCAGTATTGACAAAATTAATCTTTGCAGAGGAAACACAGAAGCTGCATTAGAATGGGCATTTAGATGCATTAATATTGTGTTGATATTTTAAACATAAAACGTTAAATACTGATATTTGAAATAATTTTTTTTTTTAAATGAAAAGATACTTTAAATGTGAAATTAAAGCTGCCAGTAGGTGGCAGCAAGTCACTGTTAAT